TAGACTTTCTTTAACTTTGCATCAATATAGCACTTTTGGGAATTTCATATGTAAGATACTATACTATACACATATTTATTTTACATTCTAATTTTCCGTGTATATTTCTTGACACGAAATTTTTATATATGGCCCAATTGGCCTGGCAAACTTTTGTACATATATAAATAAAATAGCTTTTGCCCGCGGCTTCGCTCGCGTTAATTTATCCCCTTAGGGGAGGAATTTATCAAAATCCTTTCTTAGCGGATGCCTATGTCATAACATCTACCTGCATGCTAAATTTCAGCTCGATCCGTCCAGTGGTTTGGGCTGTGCATTGATAGATCACTATGTCAGTCACCTTTGAGTTATGTATATTTAGAAGATATCGCTATTAAAAAATAGTACTTGTTGGTAAACCCCTATTTTTTGGGTGAATATTTTGGGTTGTAAGCATGTATTTTTCACACCGAATCATAAAAAAAAACAGAATTTTTTTCTAGAAAAAATAAAAATAATTTTAGTGGTCAACCACCATTATCACTTAGGTATATGAAAATTACCTATATATATATATAATACAGACCTACTGAATACACACAAAGAAATTAAGAACCAGTCAAACCGTTTCGTTGTTACAAACACTGTAACATAAGAACTTTATATATTGGAGATACGTTGGAAGAGAGAGTACAAGTGGGAACCCTCAGTGGCAATAATGATTGTGATTCAGCACGTTTTTTTTCAAATGCAAAACTATGGGCTGTTGTTTTTGTCATCGCTCAATAGACGCGGCGTCTATTATGCAATCTGCTCGTAAATCTGTCTCGCCAGACAGCAGTAATCTGTCCTTTATGACGAGTGATGCATTACACTCTATTGTTTGTTGCCACTCATAAATTTTACTTACTTTTCTCTTTTATGTGGCACTGTCTCCGAATCTGTTAACTATGACAATGAACTAACGGTTCAACTTTGCGACGATTGAACTATGTAAGGTTTAAAACCAATAATGATTGTGTACGACGCATTTTTTTTATGTTTCTTACATATTATTTTGATGAAGAAAAATGTTATATGTTACTCGCTACTCGCCGGCTTCGCATTGATGTACATATATTATACATATAAACCTTCCTCTTGAATCACTCTATCTGTTAAAAAGAACCGCTTTAAAATCCGTTGCGTAGTTTTAAAGATTTAAGTATACATTTGGACAGACAGCGACAGCGACTTTGTTTTATATTATATAATGATTGTATTTCTTCTGCTAACTGTTTTACTTTTTGACAAATATATTATTTCTTCCTAAAAACCGTCTTTCCATAATTATATTTACCAGCCCAATATATACATACAGTCCTTCGTTCACAATGATACTTATTAAAAAAAAGCATGGAAATTTATAAATATAAAAGTTAAAGTACGTTATTTAAAGGAGGAACCGAACAAACAGACAGTCAGAGACTTATGCTGTTCCGTGTTAATATCTCTGGTCATAACAAGACAATAACAATAAGTTTGCTTGTGAAAAATTTAATTTCGCACCTTTACATTTTGCACTTTCGTTTTTTGTGTCAACTGTACACCGTTTTGATTCTGTCAAACGTACAATGATGTTATCGTAAATTATATAAAATATATTTACGTACAATTCCACCGTACACAACCGACGCATTACGTACGACGTATGTACGAACAACAAAAAAAACTCAGGTGTGCGTGCAATAAATAAAATTAATTCAATCGTGCGGGATTTAAAAGAATTTCGAAAATGGAACGTTTTAATTTTCGTGAGACGGGCACGGGGGGCGGCGGGGCGGGGGCGCGCGGCGAGGGGGTGGTGCGTACGAGTAACAGCCACGCACGCCATAAATCTGTCAAGAGTCGGCCCCCAGCGACGCCTTGGAGCGTCCGCAAGGCATCCGCGTTTTTTGTTCAATTCTATTTTACAATTTAAAATTTCACTGATTAATTTGTTATAGTGATTGGCGAGAGTTAATATTAGTAGTAGACGATAAGATACCTTATTTAATGTAGAAATAGTATTTATTTTATTAAAGCAATAAAAAGGAAAAGCCTACGATGTAAGTACAGTCTGCGGTAAAGGTATACGCTGGCGAGGCACCAGTTTATGATGGCAGGATGAGCATGAATTAGGTCAGTTAGCTCATCTTGGCAAATTATCATAGATATTTTATTTTACCAAGTGAAAGCAGACCTGATGCCATTGGGCCACTAGTTCCCCTCACTTATTTCAGCCGCCAAGCAGCTAGCTTTGTAGTACACAAAGCAAGCTACTTGGCTTTCGATTGTAGGATTCAGATTAGGCACTGAAATTATAGGATAAGAGACATGACATCTTAGTCCACTGGAATGTGAACGCATGAGTGGTGGTGGTATCACGGGTGTCATATGATAACGTATATAGTGTTGTTCATGTATATAAGCGACGGTCACTATTTACCATTAGGTGGGCCGTAAACTTGTTTGATATTCGAATAATATAAAAAAAGATACTAAAAATTCTTTAGAATACAAAGGAGTTAGTATACCTCTGATTGGGCGGATATAATACAACTGTATACATCGTAGAGAATTACGATGTATACAGTTGTTATCTGTGCTACTACACATGTCCGTTGGACATATCTACAATTCTCTGACTATATTTCATTCTCTGTAGTGTGCGGGTGGAGGAGAGTAAACAAGAGATTGTTAATTTGTAAAATTGAAGAATAATCTTAATTGTAATATTTCTTTAATAGTTTCAAAATTTTGGGGGTTATTTTGCAGAAGTCCAGCAATATTTTTTTAATAGTTTCTATATTTTGTAGTTATTTAGTATGTAGTTTCTCCATTTCACTACTTAATAGATTAATGTTATGTATTTTGTTTAATTCCGCTATAATCAATATGTGTGAGATCTCAAATATTCCTACCGTTATTTAGACCGTTATTGAGTTTACATCATCGTGTCGCACCAACATTTAAAGAGCATGATGGAAGATCGTGGAAAGTTGCAAGAGCTCCACCGACAAGAGCGTGTCTCATAAATTATTAATGAATGAATGAATTGAGTCTACACCAAATATTGCGACACGTGTTTCGCCGATTAGAACGAGCCTCCATCATGTCTCTTTCAGAGATTCAAGACAGAGTAATCGTTTTCATCTTTTGTTTCAACCGTCACTCGTCTCGTCCGGAGATTCAATTTTTTCCTATTTTATTTCAACGGTCAGTCATAGGTCATTGTCAGCTGAAAGTATTGCTTGTAAAGATAATCATGTCGCTTGTTTTGCTGACGGTACAACGAGAAGGTCGCAGTGGATCAACGCTGTACGCACTCGCGACGATTCAAAGCTGACGATGAAGAAGTGTTACACACTCCGAGTTGGCGAGTTAAAAAAAATAATGGCCGACTACATGCGATACCTATATGTGATGCTCCCCAAACATATTGGTGTAAATTTTTTAGACAATGTAGTGCCTAATTTCTTTATACTAATAAAGGAATTACATTTATTGGTAGCACTAACTATATAAGTAGACTAAAATAAATAAATAAAAAATATCGTAACTAGCTATACCCGCGGCGTCGCCTACACAAAATTGAAAGCTTAATGTATATTTAAACAATTTATTGCTACCAATGTAGCACTATTACATATTATAATTACCTTATGGACTACCATAATGTAGTATAATAAGGCCATAAGTAGGCTAAAATAATTATATATCTAAATAAAAAAAAAAATCGTAACATGGTATGCCAAATTTATAGCCTATATGTTATTCTGATGTCTAAGCTATATAACTGTAAAGTTTCAACAAAATCTGTTCAGTACTTTCTGCGTGAAAGAGTAACAAACATCCATACGCACAAACTTTTGAGTTTATAATATTAATAAGGCATTAAGCTAAGATTTAGTGCTACTAATACACGTAATTCCTTTTTTATTGTAACCCGCGTGAAATTTACACATTCTGATGTATAAGCTATATTACTGTACAGTTACATCAAAATCTCTTCAGTAGTTTTAGCCGAAATACTATATGTACTGCCGAAGCAAGAGTTTAGTTCTATAGTTTTTACTAAATATTCGGTTTTACTAATATTGTGCCGTTTCGAATTGACACAAAATTAAATAAAATAAATTGAAAGGAACAATTTTTTTATGCTCATATAAATGTATAATAACATACTTTTAGGGTGTTTGGATGAAAGTGTTTTTCCAAATCGTTTTATCTGAATATTTATGGGCTGTGCTGCAAGTAGAAAAAAAAATACGTACGAAATAAAAAAATAGTTAAGTTTTGTCCGAGTTTATCTATTACAAACTTAAAGCACTTTTTTAGTGAATAAGTTTTTTTCTTTTTGTTCGTATACAAAAAGAAGAATTAGTGTTTTTGATAAAATACTTCTATTTTAACTAAATTCTGTACCAAATAATTGTATGGTAATACAAAAACTTACTTAACTTACATCCGGTTTATCAACAACAATAAATATTGAGATTTAAAATACTGGTATGCCAATTCGGAGCCCTATGTTTACGACCGCGACTGAGGGGGCTGACAGTCATAAAATAAACAACGCTTTATCTAAAATTTTCGACAATACCCAACTAACCTTCAATTATATCGAATGACATACGTCTAGTGTGGCAAACTCCGCCCACGAAACTAGCGCCATCTGTTGGCGGCCGAGTGAAAACCACTGCTGTCATACACGCTTTGAGGTTATACTTATAATATCAGAGAATAAGTTATTAATTAATCCCTTGCAAATAGTACAGTTATAAAAAAACAATAACCTGTATTTTTCTGTGTTTCATAACCATATAACTTGATAATAACAGAGTTGAATTTAAGTAACACAAGAGTTTGAAATACAGACACAATGGAAAGAGAAACATTAACATATCACATGCAATTTCATATCTAAACACAATACTAATAGAAATAATGATAATTAACTGTAAATATAGAAGATTTAAATAAATAAAATGACTTACCAGTGCTGATATACAGGTGAAATGTGTAAAAATGACGCCAACAACGTAATGTGACTCAGTTCATTTCGCTGTGTACAGAGTGAGACGACCGTTCCGAAGTTAGCCGAGCGCGTTCGAGGCCCGTCCCCGTTGTACCGCCCCCGGAGTTTGACGGACAGCGCTGACAGCGCGGCAGACGCGCGAAACGCGCCGAATGTTTTGTACGCGCGGCGCGAATCTCAACCGCATTCGAATTTGGAACGATTCGAAAATCGAACTCTATGATTTCAAACTTGGTCGTTCTGGCTGAATGTAAAGTATGATATTCCAACATGTAAGGTAACAACTACCAAAAAAAAAAAACTATAAACTATGGCAGTTTGTTAAATGAATTAAATAAATTGTATATTTATATACGAGTTTTTTTTTAAATTAAAGAAAGAACTTGAGACAGAAGTGTTAAAGTGTAATTATTTTTTATATGATATTGATATTTTAATATATTTGTGCGATATATGATGGGTGATCGTGGTATATTTTTAGAAGTAAATATACTAATAATAAAAATAAAGTCTTGTCGAGCGTGTTCAACCGGTCGGTGGGCAGAGATTTGAATCGTCGAGCAGGTAAGTCGGACAATGGTCATCCGGCCGCCGTCCTCTAATTAAACTTAAATAAAAGAAACAACGTTTACACGCACAACACTGCTTTGTTTTTGATGAATTAATGCACTTGCTTTCGTTTTTTATTTTAAATTTTATTTTATTATTTACAAATGTATTTTATTTTAGAATTTCTCGTGTCTTTTTACAGATTATTTCGTCCATTTGTTACAAAATTTTGTTATCTCGCTGTGACAACAGATGGCGCTACCAGTTCTGAATGTAGGAAGTTGAACAACTAAAATTTGATACAAAATGTTTAATTGTATAACAATGTATGATATGTTATTATGTTACTATATTTAAAATATAATTTTGTTTCTTATTATGACGTAAAATTCTTGTAATTTTAGATTTATTATGAAATTTTAATGCGTTGAATGTTTTTATATACAATTATAATTACCTACACCAAATCTAATGGGTAATTAAGACAAGCTATTCTTACAACCAGACTGCAGGTATAGGTATGTATGTATGTATTAATTTTCTTATAAATAATATTTAAGAATGCAATTATTTGTTTAATTATATGGACAATAATTAATTAAAATAGTTATTTTCTTTAAAAAAAAACCAAACTATGTTATGAGGATTCAGCAGGTACCACAAACACTCAGGTAGGTACCAAAAGCTACAATTAGAAAAATCATTTTTCTAAAACAATACTGTAAATATAAATAGTTACTATTGTACAAGTAATTATTAAGTAACAAATTAAAAAAAATACACATTTCTGCGATAACAAATATAAATAGTTACTATTGTTTTATTTTATTTCTTTGTAGCAGAAAAGGTACAAGTTATTATCTTACCTAAATTAATTGTATTAACTATTGCATTAAGATCGAATATTACGGCAGAGTTAAGAAAATAACGTATCAAAATTAAACGCATGCATAAGTAAAATATCCAATATGAATAAATACTTCAAAAGCACTTTATTTAAAAAAGATAAGGCTTTTAATTAATTAACTGAAATGGCAAACAAGTGGTCCCTTACCTTAAGTGGTAACCGTCATCACGACATCACATCATCATATGATAATTCCATTCCAAAGTATCATATTCCATACCCTGTAACTCCACTGCCATATCACATATTTCAACCGAAGCACAGCTTTTTTTTATTAAAGGGTTTGAGCTATTTACGATGCTATAGTCCCAAGCTAAATATAGCTTGTGTTTAGGTAGCTGATATAAATACATAGATTTTTTTTATAATACTTAATATGCACAGAATACGCAAATCAATACAGAGTTCTGTCCTGGTAAATAGAACATGTAACATTGCGACCTGCATAGATTTTCAGAGTCCGCAACCTAGACCCATCAAGGACAAGAATTGAAAGATTCTTAGCAGCGACGGTTTTTGCTCCAGATGGTGTGTACGTTTCAAAGGAGATATTTAGTTTATGCTTGAGTGGGCTACCACATAGGATGTGTAGAGGCGTTCCCTGAAGAACAGCTTACGAAGTGAGATAGAGCCCACAGACACGACTTTGCACAAAGTCTGCCACGGTAGACTTGTGATCAAACATATGAAATTGCACTTTCTTTGTCTTTTCTACGTTTTTTGTCCTATTCAAAAAACATTAAGCTAAAATTTTACTTTAAAAAATGCAGCATCATCATATAACAGGTAGGTAGGTAATTTACAAAGATTTTTATCTTAAACCCGCTCCCAGATTCGACGGTTTTCCTTAACTTACAAAAAATTCGACGCATACAAAACTGTTCCGGGCGATCGCCATACCCTTCTATATCCGGCTTATTTATTAAAAAAAGCATTTACACCCTAAATTACATTAGCTTCCCCAAAAAGTGTTGCCACCTCTCATCTTCGAGGGGAGATTGAAGGGGGCGTGTTATGGCCTCTTGCAATCTAACTTTGGCTCGTTGTCGCTCCGTTAGTGTTGCCAGTCGCGCCGAGTTCTGCCATCCCGGTATAAATGGAAGAGGTTCAGAGGTCATCACTGGCGAAAGTTTTAATGAATTAGCATGAACGCTGTTTTTGTTGCGCTCATTTCGTTTAGTTGGTTATGGTCCGTAACTACGCTGATGATAGAGACGTTGCATATTTTATTAAAGAAAATTTCGTGTTCTGATGAAATTTAAGAAAACAAGGTAATATTCTTATCATTCTAAATTGAGAATATAGTCTAGACAATTCAAAGGAAAGGATTCGATATGTTTTGTAGTTATACTAATATGTACTAATTTAGGATATAGACATGTAATAGCAATATAATGTAACACAAAGCACGCTATGGTTACCCGTAAATATATGAACAGTTAGTTCGAACACCGCTAGTATATGTATTAAAGTACAACATATTGTATTGCTGTACCTTATTTTAGAGATCATTAAAAGTAAATAAATAAATAATAAAATATATGTATATCATTTTTTTTAAAACTCAGGTATTAGTTGGGCTGCTATCAATATAATAACAACGCATTATTGTCTTACCTCTGGGTCACAAGACTCTTCAAAGTATTTTGTGGCTTAGGGTCTCGGTATAGAATTTAATATCGAGTGTAATACGATACCTATCAATAATATAATCAAAGTCAACCTCAGGGTAATTGAAAAAGAAATCATACTTAGATGCTTCCAGTATGGCTATTTCCTAATTAAGTTCCTAAGCTAGATGGATGACCAAATAGAAGGTGGGATCATGAAATAGCTAATACACCAGGGAAACTATGGATCAGAATTACTTGAGACAGAACGGAATGGAAAGAATTACGAGGCCTTTGCTTGGACCAAGAATGAAGGATGGACCAAGAAATTTTTGATAGTGTGTAAACTGGAAATAATGTCACGTCGGAATAAAAGGCTATAATAAAAATAATAAAAAAATCTTAGGCTAGGCATGAGAATTGGGTTCTACCACCGCCTTGTCTTCTAATACAAGAGTTAGGCATGAGATTTCTGGTAGCTCTTTGTCACCTAATCCAAGACTTAATCCTTAATTACCAAATAAGCAACGATGAAATCTCGGCCGTTTTTTAACAGCGTCCTTTTTATTTCTGATCCAAGTTATGACGTAATTTTGTTATTTTAGAATCACAACAACATTTCGATTGAGGAGCTGTCTGTCTTAAGATATGCACTTCAATTCCAGATATGGGGCTTCAGATTGATTGATTCCTTGATTGACAATATCTGAAGTTTTGACGGGCCGGCACGCGCAATCTGATACAAGGTCGATGTCGACAGCCTGATATGGAGTCGCCTGAGATGGAACAATTGTAAAGATATGTTAACTATGGAAGATACTTGGTGCTTCTAGCCTTGACCTCTGTGAATAGATTTGACTTCCTGTCTGAGCATGTCGTCTAACAATGTCTCATCTAATAAACAATTTCTAATACATATCCCTGGATGATCCACAGAAGTCTAGTTCCAAGTTAAGCATAGCTTGTGTTTAGGTAATTGATATAAATACACAAATACATTTTTTTATGAATCTATACTAATATTATAAAGCTAAAGAGTTTGTTTGTATGTGTGTGGGACTGTGTATAGGGAGCTGGGGTCGGTGCAGCCAACGATGGTGGTAATTAAAGATGCAATATGTAAAAGAATAGTATATTATAAAATATATGTCGTAACAAACTATATGAAAGCAAGAGCAATACAAGGAATAATAAAAAGGGAATGACAAAACCATAGCAACCGATCTAAAATATAAATATTTAAAAATAAGGAATAGTCGTACCAGCCAGCGGCCCAAATGTAAGGAGTCCTGTACAGTATGTTTAAACGCGCTAATCTCAGGAACTACTGGTTCGAATCAAAAACTTCTTAGCATTTGTATTATTTAATTCTTACCTGGTATTGATTTTCTACCATCCATCTACCCAAAACCGAAAAATATGGCAAGGGGTCTACGACACAAAAAAGTTTGGGAACCTCTGGCTTAAACAAACAAAATTTATGAAATAAGTATGTGAAATTGACTCCAATATTCGGTTACAACTAAACAGTGAGCGTTGAACCTAATTAGTTGTTCTAAACCCTTTAACCGGCTTTACACGCGTTTTCGCCCGTTTTGCCCTATTACCGCTCTATTATACGTCCTTTGAGGGCCCGCCAGGCCTGCTTTAATACTATACCTATATTATTACGTTGCGAAATTAGTGTTATACCCCATTCCTAATATCAGGTGTCTAATTCGACGAACACGAGAATAATGTTTTCGGTAACTTAATATTATGCTTATAATTAATTCGTTAAACTTGAAACTAACTCGTGATATATACGCGCAATGAAATGAGAATTTTCAGTAATTCGAAATAGTCATGAAACCTTAATAAAATGTATACACACATTGTTTTTCTTCATAAGTATTTGAGCTTAATCAAACTAAGAGGAACACACAAGTTTCTTGTGATGAGTATGCGTTCCGAATGAGTGGTAGAATAAAAGTATATGTTAAGTTTAGTGCTTATATTAAGTTTAG